TGGGGTGCCGTTTATTATTTTTGGTTTATAAAAACGGTCAAATTAATGGAAAATCAATTATAATTAATAAAGTTATGTGATTCAAGAGGGTCTAAATTTATTTCAAATTTATATAATGTGATGTAAATATGCATAAAGCTATATTAAAGATGAGTTGCTTGATGAAGTGTCCAAAAAATTATTATAATAGAGTAAATCCCATCTTTCATTCAGAAAACTCTAACTTTATAAATTAATGGTAAAGTATTTGTTTTTTGATAAGCAAATAAAATATTATTAAAAATGTACAAATGGTACCTCAAACTCATTCCACATCAACACAAAATCTCAAAATAAGGACATTTGTTTTAAGGGTTACATTTGAACATTGCAACATTCTATACTTGTCAATTGCTTTAGCACACTCCAAGGGATTACTTGACCATTTTTTTTGATCAGCAAAGCTATATGATATTTATTAGAGAAGGAGCATAAGAAATACTCCCAAAAACAGATTACAGTCCGTAGGAAACAAGAAACGCAACACAATTAACCTGCTGCATTCAAGAAATCCAAAAGCTCAGGGCAGCCATCAAGAAGAAGTCAACATGAGAAGGAAATACCTCTAAGCCGTTTCCAGCAACTTAAAACTTCCTGCATACCCAAAAACAGCACCATGCCCTTCAGAACCCATACAGCAGACTAAGAGTGCAGATTGTGAACCTCCCCTCCGTTAGTTAGGGTCCACTACTGCCTTTGAGTATTGCTTCCTCATCCTTTTATGCCGGTTGACAGCCTTTGCACATTCCAACGGATAATGTTGCCATTCATAAAAGGAAAAAACGCATCCCTTCACTTTAGACTTCAACCATAAAAAAGTTTTTACTTGCACCCTTTCCAACATTTTCTCTGGAATTCCTTCATCTTCTCGAAATATCAGAGTATTCCTTCTATACCATATATACCAAGCAGCTGCCAGAAAAACACAAGAGCCCATCTCCTTTCCAGCTTTACTGCCCAACTCATCAATGAATAAATCTGCCACTCCCATGACGGTATTGGGTAAAGCACTCTCCAAGCCCCACCAATTTAACACCTCTACCCACACTAACCACGCTTTGTAACATATACAAAATAAGTGATTTGCCTCTTCCACTATCTCACTACAAAATACACAATAAATACCTTCCTCTTGCAATTGCACCCCACGCTTTTGAAGATTATCCTTAGTTGGAAGCCTATTTAAGCATAGTCGCCACCCAAAAACAGCAACTTTGGATGGTACCAACCGGCACCATATTAATTTACACCTCTGGTCCTCCAATACTCCTTCCATAGAATCTAAATAGTCATATGCTATCTTTACCACATATCTGCCATCCGTCGCATGCCTCCACTTCCAAACGTCCCCAGCTCCCACCTTCACATTAACCCCCTCCAGCGCCCTCTCCAGCACCACCTCCTCATCCTTCTCACGCCCTATGGTACCTCTCCTCCACTCAACACACCAACACCATCTACCCTCATTCCATCTTCCCATTTCATAAACCTTTCCTTCCTTCTTAACCGATAAAGCGTATAATCTAGGGCATAAGTCCCTAAGGGTTTTATCTCCAACCCACCGCTGTAGCCAAAAATCCACCTTATTTCCCTCACCCACTTCCCACTTGAACCCCTCCACTAGCATATTCTTTAGTCTCGAAGAATGACCCCCCATTCTAATAATATCCCTCCACAGCTTTGATACCCTCGGGCCCTCAATCGTTGTAATATCAACCTCACACCTGCCTCCATAATACTTCTCCCTCACTACCCTTTTCCATAAGTTCTCCACCCCATCTCCTAATCTATACCACCACTTTCCTAACAATGCCCAATTTTTCCTACGCAAATCTGGTACCCCTAAACCCCCTTTCCCCTTATCTCGGCAAATATGTTCCCATTTCACCCATGAAATCTTTTTATTTAAATCTGGCCCACCCCATAGAAATCTCCTTTGTATACTAATCAGCTCCACAAGAACAGACTTTGGCAGTAAAAACAGAGACATATAAAAAATAGGCAACGCAGAGAGTACCGAGTTCAAAAGGGTTAGTCGACCTCCAAAGGAAAGCGTAGAAGCCTTCCATGCAGCCAGCTTTGCCCGAAATTTGTTCACCATCGGCTCCCACACCTTCTTGTTTCCAGATTTACTCCCAATGGGCAAACCCAAATAAAGAAAAGGCGTTTGACCTACTCCACATCGTAACATGCCGGCTGCTCCCTTTATCCATCCCTCCGACACATTATAGCCATATATGCTGCTCTTGTTAAAATTTATCCTCAGACCAGACATAAGTTCAAACCATCTTAAAACATCCTTCACCGTTCTTATATTCTCAACCTCCGCTCTGCCCATAATTATTGTATCGTCGGCGAACTGAAGTAAAGACACGGTCATCCCTCTCTTTCCAATCTCGATTCCCTGTAGCATTCCTTCCTCCACTGCTTTCTGTACCAAGCCTTGTAACCCCTCACCGATCAACAAGAAGAGAAAGGGAGATAAAGGATCTCCTTGACGTAATCCTTTACCAACCTCAAATTCCTTTGTCGGGCTTCCATTTACCAAAATCGAAGTTCTCGCTGTTGAAAGGCACTCCATGATCCATCCTCTCCACTTTGTTCCAAAACCAAAAGTATCCATCATCCAGTCCAAAAAAGACCAATCCACGCAGTCATATGCCTTTTCAAAATCTGCCTTAAAAACAAAGGCTGGCTGTTTTCTGGTCTTTATCTCATCTACTACCTCATTCAGCACCAATACACTGTCGACCAATTGGCGACCCCCCACAAAAGCGGATTGAGTTTCACTCACTATTTCTAGCATCACCGCTTTCAATCTATTAGCCAAAACCTTCGCTAATAATTTATAAACACATCCTATCAAGCTAATGGGTCTATACTCCTTTAAATTTGCAGCATTTAGTTTTTTAGGGACCAAAGTCAAAAAAGAAGAGTTTAGGCCCCTCACCAGTTTGCCATTTCGGTGGAACTCTGAGAAAAAACTGATGAAATCCTCCTTAATGCAATGCCACGCAAATTTAAGAAAATTGAAGTTGTACCCATCCGGTCCCGGCGCCTTTGAACCCTCACAGCCCTTTAACCCTTCCTCAATTTCTTCAATCGAAAACGGTCTTTCTAACCATTCTTTTTTCTCCTCTGAAATCTTTTGAAACTTGATACCCTCGGGCTTGGGTCTGATCCATGAGTCACCTTTGAACAAATTCCTGAAATATTTGACAATTTCGTCCTTTACTGTTACTGGATCTTCAATCCACACCCCTTCCCGCATTAATCCAGCAATATTATTTTGCGCCCTTCTCCCGTTAGCCAATTTATGGAAGAAACGGGTATTGGCGTCTCCCTCTCTTATCCATCTGCTCCTTGACTTCTGCTTCCAGATTAGTTCCCGTCTTCTCAAAACATCCCACATCTCAGAGAAGCCTTCTTGCCTTTTAACAATTTCCAATTCCTCTAGATCAGCTATCTCATTCTGCATATCGACCTGTTCTATTTTTTTGACTGCCTGCACATACTGAGCCTCCATGTTTCCAAAAACTTCCTTGTTCCAACTTTTTAGGAATTCTTTCAGCAGTTTTAATTTCTGTTTGCATTTGTACCCTGCAAACCCCTCCACTGCCATCTCCCTCCACTTATCTTCTACAACCTTCTTGAATCCTGGATGTTGTTGCCATGCATCTAAGACTCTAAAAGGTCTTGGTCCCCAGTCTGTTGATTTGGAATTCAACACCATTGCGCAATGATCCGAAATGTTTCTTGGCAGCCCCTGCTGTATCCATTCTCCTCCCCTATTATACATCTCGGTACTCAACAAAAATCTGTCTAGTCTGCTTCTTGCTGATCCATCAGGTTTATACCATGTGTAACGTCTATTAGACAATTTAACGTCCACCAGGCCTGTTGTTACAATGAACTCCTCAAAGTCCCACATGTCTGCACTCACCCCTGATTTCCCTTGCCTCTCCTCAGGCCCTCTGACAGCATTGAAATCCCCTGCGATCAACCACCACCCTTCCTTGTCAATCACCCTCTTCCTCAGCTCCTCCCACAGCTTAACCCTCTTCTGTCTATCATTGGGTCCATACACGTTTATTAGGCTGCACTGTTGTTTATTTACTCCCCATTCCCCTGATATTCCCACATACCCATCCCCTGTAAACTCTTCGCTCTTAACAAAATTCCTTCTGTCCCATAAACATAGCAATCCCCCTGATGCTCCAGACGAGGCCTTCGCAACCCATTCGAACTCATCAGAGTTCCATAAAACTTTGCAAATACCCATATCTATCCTCTCTAGCTTCGTTTCCTGCAAGAATAGAAAGTCCGGCCTTTCTTCTCTACTCAGCTTACCCACTTCCTTCCTCTTCACTATTCCACCCAATCCCCTCACATTAAAGGAAATAATCTTCATTTACTCAAATACAGACACACGACTTCAACACTCCCGCCCAGCCCTATACCCCCGACCCGTCCCTCCTCCCTGCCCTCTCTCGATCCTCTGCCTCTATCAGCCTAGATAGTAATTCCTCATCATTATCTTCAAATTGGATCCCCAACCTCTTTCCCACCTTCAACATCCGGCGTACCTCATGCAAATTCAACTCCCTTTGGATCACCCTATTTCTATTTACAATATCCCCATCCGAAATAGACAAACTCCCCTCCATGCGTACCTTTTCTTCCTTTGCTCTTCGGTCGTCCACCCTTCGTGACTGTCGCTGTCTGGATCTGGAAGTCACCAGCGGAGTCCCATTCGCCCAGATCTCCTCCATGCTTTCTGGGTAGCACTCTTGAAGGAGACGCTGCTTTTTGTTCGTTGGTGCTCTGTTTTCTGATTTCTGCATTTTTGATGTTGCTTTCGGGATTTGGGGGGTTAAATTAGGGTCTTCTATACTTATAACTTTTGTCCGCCCATAATTGTTGTTTTTATCCGGCCCACTCCACTTTTCTGGCCCAACAGACCTCACCCTTTGGAGCCCACATTCCTTAGCCCACCCGTCTCCTTCATCTCCTCCAACCTCCCCCTCTGTTTCTTTTTTTTTCCCAGCTCTCCTTTCCCGTTACCCTCTTCAAATTTGAATTTAAATCCATATCTTGCATTAAATGCACTGAATCCGAACTCACGTCATCTCCGTCACGAATGACGTCCACACCCATTTCCTGGTATTCGTTCTGGCTCCACGCATCCGAGACGTCATCGGACTCCGATTTCTGGTCATTATTCCGATCATTCTCCGTCAACCACCAGTCCGGATCCGTCCGCCATTCCTCTTCTGCAATCTCTATTCCATACAGCTTTTCTCCTACTTTCAAGTTAATTCTTTTTGCTATTCTCCTAGGCTCTGTGCTTAGGACCAATACTCTTCCATCCCAAAGAATTGATTTATTCTTTGTGTCCTCATGAATCATTTGCACCTCTCCAATTGTCTCTCCTATACTCTGAAAACACCTCTCACTCCATGCCTTTAGAGGCACTCCCGATATACGCAGCCAAACCATTCGACTCGACTCCTCCGGTGCCAATTCCCATGGGTTTATGGATTCAAACCACAGATCGAACAACTCTTCATTTATCTTCATATATTCAGATAAGTACCCTACTACTCTTTCAGATAATAACACCCTTCTTCCCCCTATTGGTGTTAACGATATTAAGCCACCGTCTACGTCAATACGTTCCTGAATCTCTGATATTAACCCCATCGATCTCACCACTGCCACCATGCCGCCCTCTAGCCAGTGTAGCTCTTCACCCGTGGGATAATGTTCCACTACCATATTCTCTACTTCCCTTTGATTAACCTCGTCCTTTACCTCCGTTTCTTCTTTGTCTATTTCCTGAGGTTGGATTTGTGCGTTCTCGGCCCACTTTCCCTTGCCCTTCACTGCTTGGGCATATGATTTCCCTGGTTGGATTAACCTATTCGTTTTGCTCATTGATCCATTGTCCTTTACTGCTCCTTGTAACTTCCTGGACTCTGCTGGTTTTTTCCCCCTGTCATCTGCAATCTTCACCTTCATTTTATACGAGCCGATCCACATCGTGTTTAGCTGCCTTTCCATTTGCTTCTCATTTTTTACCCCTGCCATCCGCACAAACCCAAACCTCTTCCCTCGTTTATCTCTTTTGCTCGGGATATACACATCTACAGCCTTGCCATACATCCGAAAGCTGTTCCATAGGAATTTTGCCTCCAACTCCTCCGGAAAATTGTAGAAGAAGAACGTCGTCGTCCAGCCGGAAAACTGCGAACCATAGCCTCCCGTCCTAGTCTTGTGTCCTTTCCACTGTCTGTATCCACCCTCGCTCCCTGGTATCACACCTCTTGCCGTTCCTCTCATGCTCGCCGATTTCCTAGGGATTACTTGACCATTAATGTAAAGAAAATGCAAATCCCTTTGCCTTTCCTCTTAACCATAGAAATGTTCTAATTTGAATGGCTTGAAATGTGCTTTCCATAGTGGA